AAAAAAAAATAATATACGTAAGAAAGACGAAATATAACAATAAAATTAAATCACAAAAAATTAAGACTAGGAAAAATCAAAAGTAAGAAAATAGGAAAGGTAGGTTCCGATTTTATATACAAGGTCGGAAGCGCTGCATTTGTTATTTTTAAACTGATGATTGCCGCAAAAAGTGACCGTCGGAATTTAAAGAAAAATAGAAAGAAAGAAATAACAGAAACGTAAGGATAGTAAAAGACGAAATGTAAAAATAATACGGCACAGATCATTCCAGCAATATTTCAACGTTTCAGTAATATTGCAATAACGTTGTAAATATTGCAGCAATGTTACTGCAAGCTTCTGTGCTGTATGGAAATAATAAGAAATTAAAACTAGAAGAGACTAAGTGATAAGAATAGGAGACTCTGATTATATGTACAAGTTCCTCGAAGCTCTGCATCAATATTTTTAATTGATTATTGCGGAATGAGTCCACCTTCAACAACATTTCCATAGTCTCGGTAACAGAAGTGTACAAGAACGGTGTCAACTTCGGTATCAACGGTTCTTCTAACGCTAACGAAATAGTGCCGACACGTTGACATTGCGGACACTGTTTCTCGATTGTAAAGTCGTGAATCGAAGGTGAATAGAAAAAAAATGTGGAAAGTTATACATAATAATGTGAAATATTTCTTAAAATTTACATTGCTGCAGACAAGTCTGGCAAGAGATGTGACCGCACTGTGTAATGTAGTACGGATGTTTGCCTCTCTCTATAAAGCAGAGTGAAGCATTTGTTGCAGATTAACGTGTCCATTTCCATCACTTTAGATACTAAAAAAGTCAACTGCGTAATTTTTAAAATTGCTCAAGTAAAACAAAAAGTAATCGTGAATATACCGATATTCCCTTTGACTATAGGTGCGTTCCGTATCGCGCATGATGTGCATGATGCATCCATTGACCTTGTTTAACATTTGGTGAACAACAAGGATAAACGATGCATTATGCGCATCATGCGAGAAACGGAACGCACCCTAA